TGACAACTGAAGAGTGAATTCCAAAATCAAAATAGGAGCAACATTCTACACACACACACCTTCAAAATGAGGGGTGTTCAGGTTTTTTAAATGCAAAATTGAAAGAAATACGTCAAGTTGATATTGACCAAATTTTGACCGTATCACCCTTTATACACAAACTATACAAGTGTGACCATAAATGCGCTCACAATTTATTATACAAATAATGCTCATGCTCATAGTTTGTCATCCAAGTGTATCCGCGGCATTAAGATTATGTTTATTTAATCAGATGTGCCGTGCACACCCTTCAGCTTGCTATCACAGACGTAGAGATGAAAATATGACGATGCAATTCATGCAGTAATGTCAGTTACAAAAAGTAGAAGGGTCTGTGCCTAGGGGTACGAACGGAAGCTTGACGTAGGACCGCTAGTGGACGGAATAAATGTGATGAGCATTAAGTTCTTTTAATTGATCAATTATCTATTATCTATCTTTTGAATTGTAGGCGTACCAAATTTGTAGTAATCTTTTTCAAAGAGAAAGTTGATTACGAGAATCAATCAAAATAACTTGCACCCCTGCTTCCAAGTTTGTGTGGTTGTTGGGGGCTTGTGGTTCTGAATATGGACAAACAAGCACAGATAAATTCTATTCCAACTCTTTACTGATGTAAGCTTGATGGCCCTGAAAAGGGCCGTTTTATTGAAGAGGACATCCATGGCCACTTACGCTGGGCGTGTTTAGTGTAGGTGACAGCATTACGGACCTCATTTTCCAGGAACACTTTCAGCACACCTCGTAGATCAGACCGGAGATACGTCAGACACCGCCACGGCGAGCCAGTTGTTGGTTATCTCGAAGAATTTGCGATGACGATTGGCACCTCCTTTGCCACGACCAGTCAATTGTTGCTTGTTGGGTTATAGAAAAGTGGACTAACCACCTTCCTACTGCTGTTATTGCTGACCATGCCGTCCGAAGCGAAAGTGAACTGATACCAGACAGCAGCGCTGCTTTATATCTTTTTAGGTTAAAGCAGAATGATGTGCAACCAAGTGGTATAAAAGCTACAAAGACTCCTCCCATTATGAGTAGTTTGCTATGAAGTAGCGAAACTGACTCTTTTCTTTTTGCGTACACGGCGAATGAGAACGACCCAAATTTGAGTTAAGTTCACTCATAATCGCCAAAAGTGTACGAACTCAGCGATGAGTAAATTTGTCTCATCGTTTCCTGTGGAAAACCTAAAAAGTCTGCCAGAAAATGAGGAAATTGAAGAAAATTTAAATTCAGTCTCGGAGAAGTACCAATTAACTGAGTGAATCCAATCTTTACTTTTCTCAAATTCGGGATTTTTTCCCTGGAAAATCCTGGGAAAACATGAGGCAAATTTACTCATCGCTGAGTTCCTGCATTTTATTTTGTATTTCTGAGATAACTTAACTCAAATTTGGGTCGTTCTCATTCGCCGTGATAGATATCGGCGCCGGTGGTTAGCGTAATTACCTCTCACCCCAGCAGGCCTGGGTCCAATCTCAGTCGGCGCCACCGGCATGTTCTAAGGCATAACATCTCTGATCACGCCTTCCTTCGGGAAGTAAAGCCGTTGGTCCCCGGTTGAGTTGATGGGTCGATTGGTAGGGTCCAAGTGTGGAAGCTGCCTCCCTGGCGTCGGTAGCATTGGATCTCAGTACGGAAAACAAATCTCGCGTCACTTTTCAATAGGTCCTATCTACATTGATCGATTCTCTTCATCGACACTCTCTTTCGTAAATAACTCGGCTTCACAAATGTTTCCTGCCGTCTTCGTCGAATTAGATGCTAGATTGTTGATTCTTCCATCGAAAATATCCGGTCGTGGCGATTCAAAGTTGATCAAGGTTGATCAAAATAATTTGTATCCCTGCTTCCAGTTTGATTACATGAGCATTTTGTTTGGTCGTTGGTTCTGAATATGGACAAACAGGCAGATGAAGTCTATTCCTACTCTTTACTGTAATAAGCTTGGTGGTCCTGAAAAGAGCCGTTTTGTTGCGAAAGTTGGTGATGATTTAACCTCCGAAACCAAACAGAGTGCGCCTCTGTCACTTCAAAACGTAGATGACATTCATGGCTGCTTACGCTTGGCGTGTTTAATGTAGGTGACAGCATCACAGATCTCATTTTTCAGGAACACCTTCAGCACACCTCGTAAATCAGACCGGAGATACGTCAGACACCGCCACGGCGAGCCAGACGACGGATGGTGGTTATCTCGAAGAATTTGCGTTTGGTTCTGAATATGGCGATGCGTGTGCAAAATATTACGCAACTCCATCCTCCCTATTCGCACGCGCCCAAGGATCGGAGGCGAATGCCACTTCGACTTGTTTCGTCTACTTACTACTCTCTGACGACTGTGCTGGGGAAGCAGCATATGCATGTAGGTAATTGGTGGATTTGTTAGTTAATTCGAAGCTTTTGGACAATGCTGGACATTTGCCAGTTTTTCAATAGTTTCTTGTTGAAAATCAACATTCGGAAGCATTGTTATCGATGCGTAGCCATATTTCTGATCGATTGGTGATAAAATTATTGAAATTAGGCCAGGGGCAGCTGAGTTATTAACGTTCAAAATCTTTCTTAATTTGTTACATGTTCCATTTTTGGTTTTCACAAAGTGTACCCCCATATAGAAATCAAAGACGTAGTCCTACGTCAAAAACTACAAGAAGGTTGCATATAAGATATACTATGAAAATGAAAATCAAGCGATTCCTCCATTATTTTCAAGAACTCGATGGGAAGGTATTTTTGAAAAGGTTGAACCATTTCAAAAGCAGCGAGGATTTTTGCATTGCTCTGGGTGCCAAACATAAAGAGCTCGATAAATAAACAATAATGATGCCTGGAGCATGATCTAAATAATTTGTACTTTAATTAATTGGTTACAGATCTAACCGACAGTTGGGAGTTCATTCACATGTTTGTTGAAGTTTTTCGTCCGGTTTATGAGTGCACTGCAAAGATGCAGGACAAGCATGTTGGCTTGTCCGATTTTAACTTAGAATGGCTGAACATCACCAGAATAGTGGTGGGGTATGGGTGGCCTAAACATCTAAATTTTCGCTCTCTCAGCCATTTTTACCTTTCTGGTTTTTGAATAATAACATTCAAGAATCAGTATATATTTTTTTAACAAAATGAGAGTACTTTAATGAATCTATAGTCCCTTTTCATATAAGATTGTTGTACATATTTTTTTATTAAGTTGTCAACCTTTTAACTTCTACCTTTTAGAAATTCATCATGAACACATCTGCACGGATTTCAGCATTGAAGGAAGAAACATCTAGCACTCCACATGCCATGTTTACTGAGCTAACCGGATGAACTGTACAGTTTTTAACGGACATGTTTGGAGGCTGTCTAGCAGGTTCAAGCGGAGACCCGAAATGTATCCCAAACAAAACGCTTCCAGAACAGTTAAGTGTGTTGGATGATTGATTGCGACAACCACACCATGTCAACGTTTGGGAGCAAGGTTACTGATAAGACTCAGAAGCGCTTACCGTCTCCGAACGCGTTTGGAATAACGAAAGCATGCATTCCTGAACGAACCGAACGATGCCATTAACGTGAGTCTTCGTGAGTGACCTGTGTGCGAAGAGTATTCGTGCTGCCTTCCATTCACTCTCGTTCCATTCTCATCGTTCTTTACGAACTGGTGTGATCGGATAAGAGTGCAGGCCTCAATGAACGTTCACGGTGAGTCAGTTTAATACTCGCGGCGAGTGCTACGAGTTGCCGATATGAGCAAGACGAATCATGGAAATTTAAAAAGGAAGATAAGTGACGCGAACACCACTAGGGGTGATGTGCTCCTGGGTACGTTGCAAATGGTAACGGAGCACAACCTTCCCATAAGGTATCCAGAATGGAAAGGTGTCAACTTGCTTTTGGACCCCCTGTGGAAGGCATGCGGTCTGAAAATCTCCCGGAATACTCTGCCTCCTTTAATCCACAGAGGCGCTGAAATAATGCGGCAAATTGTATCTGCAGAATTTTGGCAGAAGGTAATTTGCCTAAAAGTTGATGAAGTTTTTGAGTAATTACCGGAAAACTAATGGCCAGTCAAAACACCACTCTGAAATTTTCACCTTTGAAAGGTAAAAAGTTTTCTTCCATGACAAATTATTTAGCTGTTCATTAACTACGTAGACAGTTTTTTTTTGGGATTGTTGACCGTCCCCTCTGCCCCTGCATAGACAATTGTCCATACATTTTTTTTTTAATTTGTATGGGCCGTGGATAATTAAAATCTGTCTCGTAGTTTATGAACAGCCCAAATTTCTCTATATTTTTACATAACATTCATTCTACGATGATTGGATCATGAGTGTTATGAATTTTCAATGTACCTGATGTCCGGAAACTTTTACTAAAACTTTCGGGAAAATTAAACACCCCGAATTTTAAGAAATTGATTTTCGTACTCAAAATTATTAACTCTATCTGTAAGCAAACAATTCAGAGACATTTCAGCACATACACCACAACTTCCCACATGTTCCTATTGGTGGTGAGTCGATCAGGTTTATTCCTAACGCTGATTTTGTTTGTTTTAAAGTTATTCTAACTAATATCCCGTTTAGCAACACCTCGTCAGCTAATTTTTTTTCTATATTTGTGCTGGTACTTTCTGGACAATTTATCATAAAATACCAAGTAGAAAGGATCCACAAAGAATGGTTCAGTGAAATCAGAATAAGAATTTAACATAAGATAGATTTGCTAAAAAGTAAAAAAGTCATTCATCGCGAAAGCGAATCAAGCTAATCGATTTTTTTTTATCGACAAACCTGACAAAATGCGTTTCCTCTTCATGCTCTGGCAGCATCAACTAGCCCAACTATTGTTAATTAGGGTATACCCGTAAAACTAAACCAATTTATAAAGGTGAAGATCTTTTTAGGCTAAATCACTTGAAATGTAACATTATTTTACTTCACAACTCATTCTCTCTTCCGTAGGTCCACGCCAAAAATGACAACTATCGACCGGCCAAATCCTGGATCGAGCACTACACCATACTGAGCCGCGATCCGATGCACTTCAAGTGCAACCACTGTGACCGCTACAATACAGACAAGGTCAACAACATGATCTCGCATCTGCAAGCGCACTTCAAGGAGTACGAATGCGACCAGTGTCACCACAAGTTTGCGACGGCCAAGCAGCTGAGAGCTCACTACACGACGCACACCGGTGACAAGCCGGAAAAGTGCAAATACTGCGACAAGGTTTTCTCCACCAAAAACAATCTTCGCATCCACCTGAAGGCGACCCACCCGGAATGGATTCCCCAGAGGCAGCAAACGCCCTCTACTTCAAACACCCCGACCACTAAACCCGTCCCTAATCAGACGGCGTCGCCTACCATTGTTACGCTTGCCTCAACGGATGCCCCACCTCAAGCTTCCACTACTCCCAATTCCGACATTTTCGATGGCTCTCCCGTGAATAGTAACAGCGGATTCGGCATCCAGACACAGCAACAAGTGCAAATGCAGCTGCCAACGCAACCAGCGATGACAGGTTTAAACATTCTGAGAAGCTAGGGTAAGTGTTAGAAATTAGTTTCGGCGACCATATTTTTTTCTGTAGATAGTCATCAACAATACGAAAATTATTTAACGTAAATTCAGTTGACTCATTGTGTGTGTGATAAATCACAAACCTTTGCACAAATAGAAACCCGCGTCCGATTCAGGACGAACTGATTGTTCTCAATTAAAAATTAACAAGTCAATCAAGTCAAATGGCAACAACCATTACTACATTACTGTTACTTTCCGACGAACCGTATAACTGAGAGCAAGCCAAATTAGCTAATTCCATTCTAACGTCAGTCCGATGCTGGCTGGATTGGATGTAGCGATAATGGATGGATTGAATGTAGAGATGATGGAAGAGTTGAGACTCGAAGCATGCGATGGGAGGAGGGAACTTGGCAATAAGATTTCGGTCAATTGAAATGTTTCATTTTTATTAGCAGAGGTCACGTAATAATCGAATCAAGTCTGGGAATTTTATTGACGTTACATATGCACGTTTTGCTGTTGGTAGGTTTATGGCATTCTAGTTTTAGTTGAACTGGATACGTGAAGAGATACTCGTCGCTAATGAAATGGATTTGCTTTTACTTTTGGCAGACGCTTTCGGATGGAAGATTACTTGTCTATTTATTAAGTGTATTTGTGGTGAATTTGTATTCGTAAAATTATCTTTCAGCTTAACCCTTCATCTATTGTACGCTTGGTACCATCGCCGGCATCACTGTGATATCGTCGATCTGAAAATGTAGTAGAAGAAGTGATTTATTTATTATTTTTCAGGTAAAATCTAAATATTTAGACCTATTCTGCGCGGCGTGTGAGGTGAGGTGAGACGCTGTCACTTCTGAAGTGACAATTGTCACCTCGCGTGAGGTGACTCTCCATTTGATTTGCACGGAGACTCACCTCACCCGCGGTGACAATTGTCACTTCACCATTACTTCACTGTCACCTCACCTCACACGCCGCGCATAATAGACCTAATTGTGATGATTGGACTAGGGTGAGTGTACCAGATATGGCACTATTTCTTTGATACACTCAAGCGCGTAGCCAAGTTTTAAAATAGAGCTGGTCAAGTTTCAGAATCATGAACGTTTTCTCTAAGTTCTCATCCGATATCCTGAAAAGTTTTCTAAAGGGTGAACACGGAACTCTTCTTCTTTTTCTTCTTCTTCTTCGCATTTCAAGCTTATTTATTATCGTGCTCTCAACATAGTGTTCGAGATGCATTTCCACAGTTATTAATCGAAAGCTTTGCATGTACCATTTTTGCATTAGTATAATTGTGTGGCAAGTACAATCATACTCTATACCCAGGGAAGTCAAGAAATTTTCCAACCCGAAAAATCCCTAGTTTTGTAGCTGCGCCTTTTTTACCGACTGATCTAAGGAAGGCCACAAACACGAAATTAATGCAATACCCAAAAACAGTTGTAAATTTTTATACATGTTACCAAATGATTTGAAAGTTTCAGTGATGATTCTCTCGTCCATATTGCACACGTGTAATTCTTATGATGGTCTAGGAGATTTTTTATCTCGATTTACAGTCGAGTGAACAGACTGCTTTCTAAAAATTTTGTCCAGACTCAAATTTGAAATCACCGGTTAAGCATTGTACTTGGTCTCACCCTGAAGGCTCTTCGCAGAAAGCTACAGGCCGCAGTCTCCACTATCCATAGATGGGTGTCTCAATCCGGGGTTGTGTTGGCAGTCAAGAAAAGTGTTACATCACATATATGCCGCTCTTCCCATCATCCCTTACAACACCCGATCAAATGTGATGGTATCCCTATCCCTTTCCGGAAAAACGTTCGGATTGTCGAAGCACTTCTGGATAAATCAGCTTAGCCATTCACTTCAACAAGATCCGCAACAGTTGCCGTACAATACTGAACTTGATTGGTGCTGCAATAAAAAGCTCACCCTGAGGGTCGCCAAAGTCGTGGTAAACAGAAGAATCTTCTATGGGATAGAGCTCTTTTGCCCAGCCGCTGAACTCTTCATCACCAGACTGACTCCCAGCCAGCCGCACTGTAGCAGGGTTGGCTTGCGTGGAGCATAAACACTTGCGTCGATGTCGATCAGTTTCCTAGAGAAGAAAACAACCGAAACTGAAGAGGGCTACCTCCTCAGAGAGGGGAACATACTTCTTGATAACTGGCGCATCAGAAAGTCCCCCCTTTGTCAGAAGTCCACTGGAACAAAGCTAGGGGATCGGGGTACCTTTCAAAGCCAGAGACAACTCTTCGGCAATGCACGCTTACCACCGATACACGGACGGCTCTAAAGCTAGAGGAAAAGTCGGATTTGGAATAGCAGACTTTACCGAGAGCCATTTTTTCCGGCACCCTGAACAATGCTCCGTTTTCTCCGCGGAAAGTGCGGCTATTCTGCTGGCTGTCACTACGAGCGCCAGCGAACCCATCTGCATCTTTTCAGACTTTGCCAGTGCCCTTTCGACCCTAGAATTCCAGTTCCCGGGACATCCCTGGATCCAGGGGATTCAAGAACACTCACCATCGAATACAGTTTTACTTTGGATACCGGTATTAGAGGTAATTGTGAAGCAGATCATCTGGCAGCTACCAGCAGCTCCGGTCGACTGTACAGTAAAGAGATGCCTGCTCCAAATATTAAGTGCTGGGTCTGGCTCATTATTTGTGAGACCTGGAACCATGAGTGGGCTTCCAGAAGGCAATCTTTTATTCGGAAGGTGAAAGGGTAGACCAATAAATGGCAGGACACCCCAAGTCGACAAGACCAGATCATCATGTCTCGTCTCCGTTCCGGGCACATACGTGCAATACACAACATGATTTGCGACACTTGCAAACTTACCATGACAGTGGAACACATATTGGTGGATTGCCCAGTGTTGAACAAACTAAGAAGTCTCTACGGTATGGAAGATGACGAGTTTGCAGATGAAAGAAACCGTATCTACAAAGCGGCTCAAGTGAATGGGTACGAAGGAGTTCTCCGAAAACACAAACGAGAGAAGCACCGACAAAATATAACGACACTAGAACCGGTGAAGTAAAGGGAATCAGTCTGCCGTTGTATCCCAGAATCACAAACCCAATCAAATCCACACTCAAGCGACTAGGACTACAGGTAGTACACAAGAGCGACAGAACTTTGCGTGACCTGCTGTGAAGAATGAAAAGTCTGGAATTTATCAAATTCGCTGCAAGAATTGTTCTTGGGTCTATATCGGACAAACGGGCCTCAAATTTAAATCCGTCTAAAGGAACATAAGCATGCTGTAGACAACAGTAAACCCAATGAATCAGCTGTTGCGATACACACAATTAGCTTACACCATAACATAGACTAGAAAGGTGCAAAACTCATCAAAACCGCCAAAAAAGCTTCACATTTAAACGTCTGGGAATTATTATTTATCACCAATACTGCTGAATCATTGATGAATGAAGATGATCCTCCCATTATATCCTGCCTTTTCAACCAGACAAATCTGAAAATCTAGTAGACAAATCTGAAAATCCAGTAGTTTCTCTTCTCTTATTTTTGGACGTGTACGGAACAGGCTTTCGCGAGAGTGACGTTTATTTGATCCGTTTCTTTGCACGGGTGTGTGTGTGTTTTTTTGTTGTAACTAGCGTAAGTGTGCCTGTCATTTGCATTGAGTGTCGGAGATTGTAAGTAATCTGAAGGATGCCTCGCTGGATACGCCCAAGACTGGACGGGCAGTAGCTGGTGGCCGTGAACGGTTCCTAGGGAAAGCACTAGATGCAACCCTCCTCCCAGATGACCATGGCAATACAGGAAGTATTACAACAAAGGTAATTGCTATTAGATATTTTGCAAACAGTGACAGATAGCGGACATGGAGAACCAGTGGAGGTGCCGGCGCCGGGCAAAGGTGTTTATCCTAGACAAATGATAAGTCACAAATTCGCTGTTGTCGTTGTCGTAGGCGCTGTCGTAATCGCCGTCGTAGTCGTAGGCAGTACCGTTAATATATTTAAAATTAACCACCAACCGCTGAAAATATGAATTATCGCGTATTTCTGTTGCTCATTACATGCCAAGTAAAATTCGAGAACGTAATTTCATTTGAATAGCTTGTTTAACCAGGTCTTAAACAATCGTCACGTCGGTCATAGCTTGTTATGATTGCCTGAACCATGCGTAAAGAGAAAATCGAAACATTAAACGTCGCGTAAAAGTGGATCTTAATGAAGGCCTCTTTCGTAGCTTTTAGTTTAAGGATTTAAATGATCGTCGGTTGCAGTGGCTTGCTTACTGAGCAGAAAAACGCGGTCCCAGGTCCTTTCATATTAAAAATGTATGGTAAGATCGCTTGTTTATCGTGTATTTTGTAAAACTTTTCTTTGTTTTCGGTGCCGGTTACTTGAGTAACGCTTTAATGTGATATGAGGGGCTCGGTGGCCTTAGAACAACCGGTTTTGCTTACTGAGCAGAACATCATGAGTCTAATTTCAAGCCCATCCACATTCAAGATTCGTCAATCGTTTTATTTGTTAACATGACTACATGGTAATAACAGCAACTCGATGGTTAAAAAGGAGCTCGTCTGCCTAGTGGCAAACGTTTTTGCTTACTGAGCAGAAGACCGTGGGTTCAATCCCAAGCTCCTTCGCGTTATATGATTGTTATGACATCAATTCAGCTTTTCGTTTACCAAAACGAACCCTGCTGCAAACCCAACCCTATTACCCAATATATATATTTTTTTTATATATTTATTAAGGAGACTTTCAGCCGTTGGCTGGCTCGTCTCCGACCAATTACCCAATATCCCAATGATTCCTCGTGGAAGTGCAGAGGTGTTCTCGGCTTCCATCAAAGCGAGTGTCACGTCAACACATTCCTACTCCTTCCTTTCTTGACCTGTGTTCGGGTGCGGCCGGCGCTGGTATTGCCTAGTTTTAGATCACCAGTTTTTACACATTGAGGATGATTGCTAGTCCCAAGCATCAACTATTGGTTCTCTGTGTAATTACAGCTGGTCTGGCAATAACAGAGTAGCAACCGTGGGCGGTCAATCATGCTCATGCTCTTCTTTTTGGACGTGTACGGAACAACGTATGAACATCCAGAGTAATTGTTCGAACATTGTCCCGGGCAGTATCACGCCCGAAACCGTTCGACAGAAAAGTAAATTTTAACGTTGTAAGAACGTGTAAGTGTTGTGTTTTGTCTCGCGTCGCGTCTAGTGAGTGTCTCTATGGTATGTCGAAGAGCATAAGGAACGCCCTATCGAATGAACCATCAGCCGAAGTAGCGGTTATCTGCTTCATTAAAGACGGCAAACTTTACGAAAAATATTTAACCCCAACGAATAACCCGATCGCCAACCACCTGCTATTGACACTGACTACCTGACCCCACCCCCGACAACCTCGACAAAATAACTACTACCTAACCTAAGCCATCAACTGTGACAGTAGTCAGTTAAGGTGGAATTCAGTTCAAACAATTCAACTACATACAAACTCATACTTGCGAGTGTATGTGTGTTTAAGAGACACTACTGAAATTACCCATTTTTACGTGGATTCCGGCACACAGTGAAAATTGGGAATACCATTAACAAAAACTTGAAACACTTACCTTGTTATACCGCTCACATGAATCTGAGTTTTAACCTTTTTCGATTAAAAAAGCTGCCCATTTCAATTGAGGCGCGCTTTCATTTTATTTTGGGCCGCCAACGCACACCCTCTCACTACACTACACTAAC